CTAGTTTTGCTGTTGTATAACCAAGCCTTTGCAATCTGAAGTTCTTATTATAATTTCCTCAGATAGGCATGTTTTGTGGTTAATTTACTGAATTATGGCCTTTCAGTCTTCTTGCTAACATTTTTTAGAACATCAGCTACACATTTAAACAAACACCAAGGATCTTTCAAAATAATATGAACAATAAGAATATGAAAAAAACACAACTTGTTTTCGTAAATATTTCTAGAGGAGCTGTCCCAACACAGCTTTGAAAACAAGTGACTTCTGGGAAGAAAGGTTTAACAAGCGCTGCAGGAACTGACTGAAAAGTCCTCTTGTCAAAGCAATAAAGAACTACAGGATAAAATTATAATTAACATGTTTATATGGAAAATACTTTTCATTGAGTCCACTGCATATCAGTCTTTGATAAAGTTACAGGTTTTATGTGATAAAAACTATTAGATTGATACACGTTACTTAGACTTCCATAGGATGTTGGAATTGGATCCACATATTACAGTTAAAAATAAGCACTATAAAATCATCATAGCATATACTAAATCAATTAAAATCAACTAATATATTATAACAGCAACATTAACAGTGTGCCATCCTTTTTTAATTGAATTAAGTAGGGATCAGTTCTTGAGCCAACACTATTCCAATTTTTTATTAATGACCTTAAACATGCTTGATAGTATTTGCACAGGACAAAAAGATTGGTGGAGTACTGAATGGTGAAGAGGATGGGTAATTGCGTCAGGTATCATTTAACAACATGCGTTTTAATGCCAACTAATGCATGATCTAGGAGCAAAAGAATGTTAATCATACTTACAAGATGGAGAACTGGTAAAGCCTCTGAATTGTATTCAGGGATCTTGGTAGATAATTAGCTAATCATGATCTTTCATTTAGTTTCTGTGGCAAAGGGAATACAGAGTAAAATAGGGAAAACACATTGTACCTGAAAATAGAACTGGTGAATCCAGTGGTGAAAAAATTATAGCCCATTTTGGTTCCTACACTTTAAAAAAGGTGATGATATTTGTCAGGATTCAGAAAAGGGACCCAAGAATGAGTCAAGGGGTAAACAGTCCTTCCAGCTGAGAATCTTAGATCAATATATTCAATTTAGTCCATGGGCACCTATCCAGAGAGAAGCATCTTATCCTGGAAGCCTTATAAATTTAGTAGACCTAGGTCTGTCCAATTGGCAGCTTGTGGGCTACATGTGGCCTCTGAGGCATTAATTTGTAGTCCCCAGGCTTCCTCCTGGTGGTCACCCCTCCGATCATTCCTGTTGCAGCAGCAGTATGGAGTTCTGGGCTCTCTCTCCCTCCTCCATCTTCTGCTTGCTGCCTCTGCCCCTGTGAACAATGTGGGGGCAGCATAGTCCATAGTACTGGGCAGGGCTGGCCCACAATTTTTTGGGGCCTCCTGCAGGAAATAGTTTTGGGGTCCCCTGCCCCAAACCAGTGGGGGGGAGGGGTGGCAAGCGGCCAGATGCAGGGGGCTCCTTAGCTGTGGGGCCCCCTGGAGCCGCAGGTTTTGCAGGAAAGGATTGGCCGGCCCTGGTACCAGGGGAGCCTGTGGCCCTGGACTTGCACAGTGCAATACAACAGGGAAGCCTTGGTTGTAGAGCTGAGGGTGAGTCCAGGATGCCCACGCATGGAATACAGAAAGAGGGTAACTATGCAGCTTGCAACCAGGGAGAAAAGTGGCTTGCAGTGGTACAGCCCATGGCATGTATGGCCCCTAAGTGCTTAGAAGTTGGACAGACCTATGGTAGACAAAGGCAAAGTGACTAAAGCTTGAATCTGACAACCTGGAAATAAAATGCAGGGGTTGTTCTGGTTGCGTTTTCTTTACAATGAAGATAATTAACCAGGGGAATGGATAACCAAAGACATAGTGGAATTTTTACCTCAAGATTGGTTGTCTTTCTATAAAATATGCTGGAGTTTAATTGCAAATTATTGGGCTTGATGCAGGAGTTACTGTGAGATATTCTGCAATGTACACTATGTAGGTCAGACTAAATGGTAACTGTGATCTCTGGGGCCTTATGGGTAGCATGGCCTGTCGGGTATGTAGCCCCTCCCCTCAACTCGCTTGCCATGACTTTGATGTTAAGGTACCAAGAGAGGGGGTTCAGTGGAGATCTTTTTGGAAGGGCTCCCCAACAATAGTGGTACTCTCGATCACTTGTCGTGATGTTCCATGGGGCTCCGCCTCCCCTACACCCTGTCCACTTGCCAACCGAATCGGTGATGGTGTGATGGTTGTTTCGAACCCACGGGGCTTGCTCACCGCTTGCTTCAGGTGGGGCTCCCCACTTCCAAGTGGGGCTCAGTTGACTCGGGTACTTCCGACCTTGATGCCTCACCTTCTTTCTCTAGGTCTTTGATTTTCCTTTCCCCCCCCCCCCCCCTTTCTTCCTATTTTTGTTTTAAGTTAGAGGAAATATTCTCCTGGGGAGTGGAGGAACATGGAGCTGCCTTCTTTTCCCCAGTCTCCTTCAGGGGGCTCAAACGTTGCTCCTTCTCTGCCTCCTGGAGAGAGCTCAGACGCTTCCCTCGGTCTGCCTGCTGCAGGGAGCTGCAGTGCTTCCCTTGCTCTGTCTCCTACAGGGGGACTAAGTGCTCCCCCTGGCCTCCTTCTGGCAGGGGGATCAAAGATTTCCCCTGCCCTGCTCGCCGGTGCTGCTCCGGCTGTGCCGCTTCTCCTTGCTCTGGGAGCCTCAGGACTTTTGGGGTGCTGCTTGCCTCCTCCCTCTTCCTCCGGCTCCCCCTCACCACAGGGACTGCCAGGGCTTTTAAACTCCTGCGTGGCGGCCATACTGGGGAACAGCTGATTAAACAGCTGGCGTAATGCCGGCTCACGCAGCTGCGGCCGTGGTCCAGGTTCCTGTGCTGCCGGACTGAAGGGGGGTAAGTTTCCGCCACGGGAAACCCAAGCTTGGGCCCTTTCTTATGACTTGGGCTATTAGCTAAGATCCATCTACTGGGACCTGGCTTCACTGGGACCCTATACAGCTGCACCCACTAGTGCACTGGACCTTTTGGCTTTTTATGATTGCACTAATTAGGTTTCTTCCTCCCCTACAGCCTCGACCACAAAATACCGGTCTACCAGTCAAACACAAACAGTAAGTCCATGGGATATAACCAAAAAATAAAATTAAGGAAGGCAGTATGCCAGCTCGCATTTTTTCCAAGGCTCTGGGTTTCTGCTTCCCACCATCAGCTATGCTACTTCTTGTGGGACTACTGCAGGTTCTCTGGGAGTCATCAGGAGTTCACCCCTTCTGCTGCCAAGCCCAAGACAGCTCAGCCCACAGTTTTTATAGTTCTGGCCTCCTCCCTTCTGGTCCCCTGACTAGCTGGCAAGGCTCAGCTTTTAACTCCTACCCTGCCAGCAGGCTGTGTGTGGAAAGTTCTAGTCTTAAAGGGACTGGCCTGCTTTCTGGTAACAGGGTTAGGGTTCCCTGTTGCACTGCGTTACCTTTTTCCTGTACTTTGTTCTGTTACTTTTTTCTGAAACATAGCTTCTGACATTTGCTGTAACTACAGATTCACAAATAGATATAAATAAACTTTACACACTATGTAAAATCCTATATTTCTATAAGGAAAAACACCCAAAAGACTTAGGAGTGGGTTTTGAGACAAAAGTATTTAATTATTTTCTTAAAAATGTTAAAGATAGAAAAAAATGTTCTTGGTTATATTGTTAACTGGCTTGTTAGAATACCTGGTGGAAAGTTTCCCCTGGCAGCAAAGAGAGCTATTCAGTAACATATACCATATTTACACACATACCACATGCATATTTTACCCCAAAATTTGCCTTCTAAAAATTAGCATGTGTGCCTTAGGTGGGGAGGCTGATTTTCTGCCCAAAATAGCCTCAGTTGTGTTTCTATTCAGACAGCACTGAGGGAGTCAATTGGCTCTAAGGCTCATTTTAATCTATTTAATTTCTGCTAATTGCTCTTTGTTTAACAGATGTTAATGACCTACTGTCTTTTTAATGGTTGTGATGGTCCACCAGTTAAGCTGTCCTTTGTTTGGCAATTGTGCTGAAAAAATAGCAGTTTAATTACTTTTGGTCTCTCTTCTGGCCTTTCACAGCCCTGCAGACTGTTTTTAGTTCTTTTTAAAATCCAGATCTACCCAGGATGCTCAGTCTTCAGCAGCAGATGCTGTTTCAACTTTTGGTAAGAGAGGATAAATGTTTTGAAGATTAGGTTCTGATCCTGCTGTATGTATCTATAAATCTAGAAGAATCTTCTTTTCTTCATTAGTCTTCCCAAGGTGTGTGTTTATTTTTGAGGCATGTACTATGTAGGGAAATATGGCATTTTCAGATTTATTAGTTTACATTTCTGTATCATCTGCTGCTCCAAGTATCACACTTCCTTGTCTTTCTGGTATACTCCTTAGTCTCTAGAATTAGACTGAGTTATTTTAGAGCTATCAAAGTTTTAATTGCAGACCTGATTTCTATTCTAATTTTATAGTTGATATTGAGACGGGGTAGATTTGTACCTTGTAGAGTAACCAAAGTAGATTTATGAATAAATAAATATATAGCACAAACTTTTATGGGCTGAAGCTCCCTTCATCAGATATTGTGAAAGTACATGCACAAAGTGTATAAAGGTTGATTATTGAGGCAGTGGTTAATGATTAATATAATTTTACTGGGAGGGAAATTATCTGTTCATTCATCTCATTTTGCCAGTTTAAATGTTTGTTTCAAGCTGCAGTTGAACTATATAGTAGTTAGCTATATAGCTACTATTAACCTTTATAGAAAATGCACAAATGAGGCTTCACAGCTTATTTTGATTTCCTTGTAAACTTATACAAAATGCTATATTAATAGGTAACTTGTGATATATTACAAAACAGTTTTATTCACCTGTAACAGATCTTAATATGAAAATTACAGCCTTTAAATATACTTCTCTTGCTAATAAAACATGAACTCTTGCTTGAATTTTTTAGCTAGGTATAGTAACTGTTCTGGGAATAATTATTGGAGCCATTTTCGCTGGAGTAAAAAATGATGCCAGTGGTATTCAAAACAGGTTAGTAAACTTTAGGAAAGAACATTTTAAAGGGCATGCAAATTGCTCTTATTTGGGCTAGTTTTCAAAATACTTTTATTTGTGATAAAGTAAGCAGAGAACTCTAGATTAAAGAAAAACAATACTTTTTTAAAACTACAGTTTTGTTTTAAAAGAGAGAAACTCTTTTATACTTATGTTAGTTACATAAGAACTAAAAATTACTTTTATAAACACTCCCTGTATTTACCTGAATTTAAGATGACTTTGAAATTTAAGACAATCCCCCCAATAATTAGATCTTATACATAGAAAATTATAAATTTGTTATTATTTCCCATGTGTAGAATAAAATTATTGGAAGACCATCTTAAATTCACCCCTCACCCCCAAACTACTGAGGCAGGGGATAAGGGGCCAACCCCCTACCCCTGTGCCTGCCCCTCCTGCCACTTGCCCCCTGCCATGTGCCCTCCTGCTGCCTGCTCCTCCAAGTCTGTGCCTACCTCCTGTCCCTTGCCCCTGTGCCTGTCTCCCCAACAGCCTCCTCTCCCCTGCAGCTTGCCTCCCCACTCCATGGATCCCATGCTTACTCAGGGTCTCCTCAACATTGCAATCTCCCCTGTTCTCCCCCTGGTCCCTTGCCCCTACTCCCACCAAATGAGCCATTCCTAGGGCAAGTGGCAAAGGGGCCAAAGCTCCAAGCTTGGGGCCAAAGGAGGAGCTGAGCTACTATCTGCCCCAGGCCAATACTCAAATACAAGATGAGGCTCCCCCCATGACAAGTATGTGGGGGAAAGATTCTCATCTTGTATTTGAGTAAATACACACACACACTATATGACACTATACACAGCTCAGTCAGATTTCAAAACTTTTGTCTGAACCTCACAATGCTAGTGGGATTTTAAATGATAATTAAGGAAGGCCCAATTCTGCTGTCTTTGTCCATGTAAATGGGATTGCTTCTAGTATTTACCCGAATTCAAGATGATTACAAATTGAAGATGACCTCCCCATAATTAGATTCTATACATGAAAACATTATAAATTTGTTATAATTTCCATGTATAGAATCTAAATATTGGAAGGGCATCTTAATTTCATCCCCCCCACTGCTGTTTTGGGGCAGGCAGGAGTAATGGGGCAGGTGACGGGGCAGTCAAGTTGCCTGACTCTTGCCCTTTACCCCTTCTGCTCCCTGCCCTCTGATGTCTGCATGGCTCAGTGCCTACCCCACTTGCACAATACCTTCCCCCACCACAGGTCCCTCCATGATTGTGCCCCCCCAACACCTGTCCCCTCCACTTGCCCCCTTCCCACCTGTTTCCCACTGCACTTGCCCCTCCCACTTGGCTTATCCTGCTACTTGCCCATCCCCCAGCCACCACTTCCCTTGTCATGGCTCTGGCCCCGTTTCAGCCTGAGGCACAGAGCACATGGTCTCTCTGGCCTCTGCTTGGCCAAGCAGCAGTGGTTGTAGTGGTGGCAGTCCTGGTGCCAGCCCCACAGCTGGGGCTGAAGCTGCTGCTACCACTGTATAAATGTGTGGGGACCAGAATGATCATGTGCTGCATACCCTGGGCGGAACCATTGACAGAGAGTAAGTAGCAGAAGCAAGGGAGGGTGACAGATGGGGGAGTAGAGGCTGTGCGGGGTGGGTAATGGTCAGGTTTGCAACTGAAGCTCTGACTCCAACTCTCAGGCCAGGGTAAGTATGTAGGCTTGTTACTATTTGCTCTTCTCTTTCTATTTTGCTGCTATTCAAGGCCAGTGAAAAAAAATGCAGAGATCATATAACCTAGTAGCTGTTAACACCTGTTCTCCAGCGCTGTAAGTGACCGTTCAGGGTTCTTATAGTGCTTCTTCCCACCTCTAAATATAGGAGCGCATATAGACTCCATCATTTTGTTCTATCTCCAGATGGCACTCACAATAAATGACAAGAACAGGGAGAAAGCCAGGAGAAGATGTGGTAGACAGTGTCTGAGACTTCAGCGCCAATGAAGGAGGTGGCTGATTCACTTGCCCCTTTAGCTTGTTGGTTAAGGGCAAGTGACTCTCAGGAGCATCCAGACCCCAGGACCTCCAGGCTTTGGCCTGCCTGTAGGATGCCTGCCATCATTTTAGGCTGAAAAAATCCCCAGGCTGAAAAATCGGGGAAAGAAGATACTTGCTGTTCTGCTCAATTGTTCAAATCCATTTGGTGCTATCACCGGCAAATATCCAGCCTGGGGTATGGAGCACATGGGGCATTGATAGGCTGAATTGACAGGATTTGGAACTGATTTGGCTAAGTTGACCTGGAACATGAAATAAAAATACAGAGAGGAAGAAGCAGCCAGCTGGGGGTTAGATGCTCAGGCACCACACTCATTGCTTCAGTGTAAGTTCCTGATGCAGCAAGCCAGCTCCCTTGTTCTCCCCTCCCAAATTGATATACATCCCCTTCCCCTGGCTCGTTAATGCAGGTATAATTCAAAGCCAGAGGAGCTGTTGATGTTGACACTAAGTGCATCCTCCAAGTCAGTCATTGAAGCCAGTGCAAGAGCTTGTAGTTGTCTCCCAAAAGCAAGAGGCACTGTGCTATGGAGAATCAGGGAGGGAAAGCTGACCTTGTCCCCTTTGCCCTCCTTGGGTCCTGATGCCCTTGTCATAGGTGGAACACACAGACCTGCTCTGGAGCTCTGGCAAGGCCAGGGTAATCCTTCACTGTGAGCTCTGAGCATAGCTTTGGCAGCTTCTCTGCAACTGTCCTGCAGGCCTGTCTTTAGCTGATTCTCATAGCAGAGCATTTCCCACACCTTTGAGAACTTGGGACATTTCTATGCCTTCATGAGCAGTCAGTAAGGGTGAAGGAAAGGTTCCAAGACCTCCCTTGGGGATAATGGGAGCAGAGGCAAGGAGGAGGTCCCCCTCACCTGTTGGCACTGGATCTGGTCCCAGAGTCCCCAGTTGTTGACACTGGACCTGGTACTAGTGGAGTCACCAGTTGTTGGCGCTGGATTTATGACCCAGTCCTGAGCAATTGTTCCGGGCGGACCCAAACCATCAGACTGACCGTGACTTCTTCCATTTGATAATAAGCAAATTTTATTGATGCAGAGTGATAGGAAATAAGAATAATGTAAGCAAAACAAGCAAGATGATTACAGAATACAATACCAATTATTTTCCAGTCCCAGGGTGTTCTCAAGTAGAGCACTGCATCCAGCCAGTCAGAGCTGCAGCAGCTGCCTGCCTCCCAGCTTGTACTCAAATTCAAGACAGGGCTTCTTTCCCCCATATTGAATGAGGGGGAAAGAACTCATTTTGGATTCGAGTAAATATGGTATTTTGGGGATATTCACATTTGTAATGGATATGTTGCAGAACCCAGTATTTTGTTTACTCTGTAAAATCATTCTAAACCAGCAATTGTCAACTGGGGCCCTTTTAAGAGTGCCATGCAACTGTTAGGTTCACATCACCTGCATAGGATTCACAAAATAAACCCAGAGATTTCAAATAGGAATCAATAGTGTCAAACAGCATTTTCATTTGTGGTCTTTCCAGAGTTCTTTGCAACAGAATAATTGCCCTTTTATTTGTCTGTAGTCAAGAAATGAGTGAAAGCTAAGAGCTGGCATTTTCCAAGAGGTGCCTTGAGTCTAAAAAGGTTGAGAACCGCTGTTCTAAATTGTATGGGCTCAGGATGAGAAAACTGAAAAATATATATATGATTTCACTTTCATTGAGTCTTTTCCTCAGTAAGTCACTGAACTCTTGAAAAATCTCATCCTGGGTGCTTAGCTACACATGCTGTGCTGAGGGGTGAGAGATCACTTTCTGCCAGTGGCAATCTTCCTGCATCTGCTTCACAGATTCTGATCTTGTCCTTTGTCCTTTATATTTTGGCAGGGATTAAGAGTATGTCAAAACAGGTTCTGTGCTGTTCTTTAGGCTGCTGCTGAAAAATAAGACCCCACACTCATTTTGCTCCCCATACTTCAAATCTAGAAATGGAGCAGTGAAGATGCACCAGGTACATCTCTTGCTGCCCCTCTCAAGATCTCTGCCCCAGAGCCTCTTCACTGCCTCAGTTCCTGGTTTGGAACATATGGAGCAGAAGCTGGTAGGTAGCCCATATTTTTTGGCAGCAGTGTCAAGGGAGAGCCAGAGTAGGCATACTATTGGTGTTGTAGTCAAGTAACACAGTCAGTGCCTGAGAGGGGAACACATGCTATTTCATTTGTCTATCTGCATTCATAGAGGGCATCAAGGGATTTTTAACTTTGACTAGGGCCCCATTGGTTTAGGGTCTTTACAAACACATAATAGAAAGGCGTGCCTTGCACTAAGGAGTTTAAAGAACATTACATCACAGTGCAGCAGCGCCAGACAAATGGAGCTGTTGCCCTCCAAGGGAAACAACCTGCTTGCCTCCTTAGCCAGAACAAAATCAAGCACAAAGGCAAAATCAAGACCCTTTTTGCTATTCCTTGTACAGTTAACTTATTACTTCTTTATATCATTCTCATGTAGTAATACCACATGACACATGTCCCTCTGACAATTCTTTTCCCTGCCTTTTTAGCTTAAAAATGTACACAGCTTCTTTTTTAACTTTTGCTTGTTTTCTCCACAGAGTTGGTGCTTTGTTCTTTTTGACCACCAATCAGTGTATGAACAGCATTACTACTATTGAGCTTTTTGTCACAGAAAAAAAGATATTTATGTAGGTAAAATATTGTGTTATGGAAAACATTGCCTATTGTTTTGTTGTATCAATTTACCAGTCAGTCTTAGTCTTAATCTGCCAATTATCTTCAGGGCATACCAATGGAAGTACTAGTGAAGATCAAGATTTAGCCCTAAGATAAAGATGTGAACTGTTTCAATTATAATTAAAATACTGACATTGTTAATATCACTGCTAATATTTTTTAAAGCAGAAATCACATCTAGTCTGGAGTTGGAGGAGGAGATTAAATAGATTATAGCTACTGACCCCCTACCCCTTTACTAGTGCCTGGTTACTGCTGTCTCAATAAAACTATAGCTCCAAAGTCATAGGTTGGTTCTAGGTAATGTGTCTGTAGTATAAATGACCAAAATTCTTTTGCCAGGTAGTATACAGTAGTAAAATATCACATATGTTATATATTGCTAACAATCAAATGTTTTTTTAAAATCCCAAAATCAAAACTAAGGGATGAAAATCTATAGAATCAGCATGCAGACTACTTTAACACTCATAACTCAACAAAGATATACATTTCCATAACCAGAAAAGAAATCAAAACAACCAAGGCAAAAAAAAGCAGTATGGTCAAAGTTCAGGAGGTTATTTGAGCTAAACAAAGAATCAAAAAATGACATTGAAATTAGCAGGAAGGATCATAAACTATGACAGGTGATATTAAAATTAGTAATCCTAAGAAGAAGAATAGAGAGAAAATAGGTAAAAACATAAAAGGAAGGAGAAATTATGCCAATATATATCAGAATCCAGAAGGTGTGAGAGAATCAGTAAGTCCACTAGGCTGTAAAAGGAACAAATAAGAAAGATAAGATCACTTTCCTATTGGAGGGAAGTTAAGCATTTTTTTGCATGTGTCTTAAAGACAAAGGATAGGACTATGAGATCTAAAGTGACTGAGCTTTCTAAAGAGGGAAGTGCTGGAATGAATGGATTAACAGAAAAACAGCAAATCATCTGAACCAGATGGTATGAATCCAGCATAAGAATAAAATGTCTGCACTACCAGTGTAAATATGTATACAGTTTCATATGTACCAATGTAAATATGCATATCGGTAGCATAGTTCACGGGTAACAGATCAAAAGAGTTAAAATACATTGTCATTTTCAACATAGTTCAAGACAGATGATAAAAATTATGCAAGGGGTAGAAAGATTTTGGTATTGTAAATAGCTTGAAAAGACTGAGACTGGTTAGTTCCAAAATAATGAACAGGACAGAGAAGCTGCATCTGTTTACCTAATATCATGATGTGGCAACAGCTCTTTGAAGTATTTATTAAAATACTAGATGTCTGCTAGAGATTGTCTGGGATTGTCAAAAAATAGTCTATAAGAATTAGAAGTCTAAATCTCACTGACATGCAACGGATGAGGATTGTCTAAGTGTGTCAATTTTCTCTGAGAATGCTTGATAAATAACATAATTGCTTTATTATTGATTTATAATCTTTAATATCTTTTCTAGACATGAATATGTCAGTGGGTACTACAGAGTGTCTGCATATTTCTTCTCAAAGATACTGGCTGATCTAATACCAATGAGGACTTTACCAAGCATCATTTTCACCTGCATAAATTATTTCATGATAGGCAAGTATCCTTTAAAATAAAACTGCATCAAAAGGAACCATGAACATTCATTGATTAGCAAGTATTTCAGGTCTCTACAAGTGGTCTCATTTTCACTTCTTCCTGATAAAGCAACAATTCCCTTCTATTTCTGTCTTGTCTCTACCTTAAGTATAAACATCTGAGAATCCATATACTTTAAGTGGAATAAACAGAATGTTTTCATAATACGGTTAATACAGATCTTTAGCTAACTTTACATTATTTTATGCAAATCTTTCAAATTCTAAATGGATCTTTTCTGATTTAGCCAATCCCTACTGACTTGTGAGCAATAGATTTGAACGTATTCATGAACATAGCTTTTCTATAGGTATTAATTATTACTCTGGTTAAATTAGGCCAGATTTTCTCCTGGAAGCCGTATCAGTTCATAGCAGGTGAGGCTATGGCATAAAAATCAATTAATAATAAACTATATTGTACCATGAGTATGTGAAGCCTTCAAGATACTAAAGAAGACATCATCCCTCTTATAAAGTGTCTCCAAACCAATCAAATCAAATAAATGGGACTACATATAAAGTATGGAATTATCACCATGACTGAAAAGAGGAAGGAAATTAGGGAGACATGCATCCAAAAGGTAATAAGGAAGTGGGGAGAGAAATAAGGGAAAATAATTAAATTGAATACAAATGGAAATACCATAGAGTGAGTGAATTTTACAGATTCTTATATTTCAAAGTATAGACCAAGTTGATGAGGAAAGCATGCAAGTGTAGAAATCAGGGTTTTGAGGAAGTATTTGAAAGAGGAAAATTATTTAGTGTACACAGAGAGATGACCTTGCTACTCCTTCCCCTCTAGTTGAAATGCTTCTTTAATTAGCCTTTTTATTGACTCATATATAGAGAATGTATATTCATTTGCCTACTGAGCTCTAAGTATAGTTCAAGACGTATTTGTCTTTAGGTTTTGTTTATTCAACAGATGAGAAAGTTTCATGATTGATTATACTCCTTCATAATTCCGTAAAATTTAAAATTTGAAAGGAATGTTAGTTCATGAAAATGACTCTCCTGTAAAGCACAGGCCAGTGAGTTTTAATCAGATACCTCTGTATTAAGCCCAGAGACCTCAGATAGACTAAAGCATTTCAGTAAAACTGATTACCAGAGGCAGACAAAAGGAGGAACCAAAGTGCTACACATGTCCAAAGGTTCTTCAGCAGCAGAAATGAATTGATCAGGGGAGATATACTCAGGTGATCTCAGGAGGTGACAGTGCCCCATGCTGTAAAACAGGTTATGTCAATCTGCAATGCTGTTCATGGGTTTTGGATTGGACCTGCATTTTGTGTGTGGCATGCCGCAGCTCCCAAGCCTGTACACTGCAAGTGGCACGTGCACCAAACCAGCCCCTGCCCAATGGATCTGGCACAATGCTGGTCATTAGACCTGATCTGGTCTTCAAACCGGCCATGTGACATTCACCCAGCCTATGGGGCCTGATGAGTTTGATACCCCTGCTGTAAAAAGGAAAGAAAAAAACCCCAAGGCTTATACTTGTCTGATACAGAGAACATTCTCTTTCGGGCTCCAAGAGCACATTGACAAACAGTGCTAATATGCTATGGTGCAGTATTATTAGGCTACTGCACAGTATTGTCACTTAAAAGGCATTTGTCAGTGCTGCTGCACAGTAACTCCAGTTACTAAACGTTTATTTAGTGCTTGATTATACAAGTACTAATTAAATGCACACTAACCACATGTCTCATGTAGACACATGCTAAATGTAGCAGTCAGCAGAATACTTATCATGTAAGCAAGAGACATCACTCATTTCTTCCAACCAGGACCAGATCCAGTGGGGGATGCAGTTGCACCTGCCTTACAATTCTGGTCCATGCGAAGTTTAAAACCTACTGCCACCGAGGGGCAGCAGCACTTCTATTCAGGCAGCAGTGAGGGAGTACATTGACTTCACAGCTCATTATAATCTATGTGATTCCATCTAAACTCTTTATTCTACAGATGTTAATGCCCTTTCTTCTATTTAATTGTTTTGGTATTTACTAATCAAGTTAGCCTTCTGCAATTCTCCTGTCTGTTAGCTGCTTCTCATAATCTAGCTTCTATTTGACAGCTCTACAGATTGTTTTTAACTCTTGTAAGTCAGGTGTGGAAATGTTAACTCAGGTGAACATTTACTTAGGCGTGGAAATACCTTTTAGTGAAGTTACTGTCAGGATGCTCAGGAAGATTAGATTTTGTTTTATGAATCTCAGAAAGATATATTCTATTCTAATGACTACAGGACCAATAAGACATCTGTTGATTTTTTTGTCTAGTTTGTTGTGGTCTTTTTATATACATGAAATAGCAAACTAATGAACATTTCAATTAAGTTATATTTGTTTTGCTTTGATCCTACACTGAATAATATAACCCTAGGCTCCTGGCGTATTAGTAAAGCCTCTAGTTTGGTAACTACAGAATAATGTGTTGTGTTATATTTGATGATGTATCACACCATCTATACCCCACTTCTCAAAATCCCTGGTCTGCCCATGGTTCCAACTCAGAATGCTTGTCTGTCACTTGTCAGTGTTTCAGCTCCAATTGTGGCCTCCCCTGATGCTTCAGCAAAAGTCAAAACAAAATGTATCCTGAATACATTTAGCTAGGTGAACAGTGGAGGAAAATTTCTTCCTGACCCTTGCAGGTTACTGGGTGGAGTACTAGAGCATGAGGTTTGAGCATAATAATTTCCTGAATATAACTAAAAGTAAACTATCTAGCGTTGTAGCTTAAGTCTGTATATAGTACACACCAAAAAGCCCTCGTCCAGGAAAAGGTAGACTGACTTATTTTTCCCCCTCCCATTTTTCAGGTTTCAAGCCAACAGCTCAGGCCTTCTTTACTCTGATGATTACCCTCATACTAGTCGCCTACACAGCCAGTTCTATGGCTCTGGCTATAGCAACAGGACAAAATGTTGTGACTGTTGCTAATCTCCTCATAAATATTTGCTTTGTGTTCATGATTGTGAGTGCCATCAGATTTTTTTAAATTATTTATTTCCTCTATCTTAATTGTAGAATGCATTGCTTGTGATTTTACACCTGTTTATATGTTCTTTGACATGCATCAAGGACCATTTAGAACATTAAGATCTGCATTTTGAACATTAAGAATATTGTCTACACCTAGATCTGCATTTTAATGCAGTACATAGTAGGTAGTTGTGGCCTGTAGTAAGTACCTGTAAAGCAGAACAGTTCAGATTGCAGATTTGAACAAAGCAAAAGGGCCAGGATCAGTGAGTCACAGTTTAAATGTTATTGGTCTTGCAAGAGACTAATGTTTCATTGCCAGGATTGGTCTCTGACTCCTTAGGATTTGGTATTTTTGCAGAAGTAGATGACTTAGACAAAAGTACTTTGCATAGGCCTGGACAATAAAGTTGCTGGAGAAAAGTTAAAGGATCATGCTACCCAGGATTAACATATATTAGGGGGAGGCTAGCTCCTTTGTGGAATTTCATTTACTGCCAGCACACAAATGAGGTCCCAAGTCAGAGTATCTGAGCACTATTGCTCTTGATGGAGAGAAGCTATCCTGCAAACATTCAAAGTAAACTTCTGCCTCAAATACAGCCATGCTGCCCTTCTCTCATTGTGCGAGATGGAACAAGTAAATATCCGTACTAACAAAGTGCGATTTTATTCACATTGACTTTAGGATCAGGTCCAGACTTGGGATTCTCGTTACTGTGCACGTGACAGGTGATTTATTTAACATTAATGGGAACCTTTTCTGTATACCGAATTGGTGCTGTTTAGTCTAAAGTGACTCAAAGATCTGTAAGATTCCCTGTGGCAGACTTCTGATTATGCCTTTTCTGTTTTTAGATTTTCTCTGGATTACTGGTAAATCTCACAAGTGTTGGACCTTGGCTTTTCTGGCTGCAGTATTTCAGTATCCCTCGATATGGCCTGACAGTAAGTGTTGCATTTTCTGTGCACTACATTAGTAACCTTTTGTGAACACTCACCATTAATTTAGAAGAAATACTGTCAAACAGTGTTACTGTAGTTTTAATCAATAAATGCAACTTATGTAGTAAGAGCTTCTTGGTTCCTCACATCCTCAGAACAGTGTGATGCGATTCCCAGCGTGCCAGATAGGACATACAGACCAATGTACCACAACATGAGAAAAAGCAGTCTTTGATTACATAAAGAACAGTAGAACTGGGAAAGAGTACTTGATTTACCCCATTTGATCCTTTGCATGCTACAGAACTATTCTCAAAGTATGTTGTCTAATACAAGCTAAGTGTCTGCTATGTTGATTCTCATTTACTTTTATGGATATGGGTATCTTCCTAGTAGTTGGTCCAAACTTCTCTCGTCTTACCTTTTGACATGACTTTTTGCCACCTATCATGGTACTCAGGATAATTCTTTTTCTTTATAATGATCACTGATAGCAGGTTTGGGTGCATGTGAGTTAAAGGTAGCATGAGGATATTTAAACAGCTTTTTAGCAGAAGCTATCTAAAAGGAAATAGAAATTTCTAGACAGAGGATGAAGCCATTTTCTTCTCAAGCCTTTGCCTGTTATTTAGAATAAAAACTCCTTAGACCAGGAACTCCTGACTCTGTGATGGTACAGCCCAAGACAATTCAAGTCTCAATAGGGGAATCAAGGCATAAGTGAAATGTATAGAAATAACAAACAGATGGAATCTTTTTAATGAGTATAAGAAATCAACAGTGAACCTGCAATGCTAATTTGAAAGTCATTATCTCAACTGCTGCTGTAACTGTGGCCTCTAGTGGCTGAACACTGCAGTATTCAGTTATGTCTCAGTACCAAAATTCATACTTTAATTTCATTGGTTTTGTGTCCACTAGTAGAAATTCATGCCTCACAAAGTTGTCTGCCATTTCAGAGACAATATATTTGGTATACAGTGGATGTGTCTATACATGACACTATGTCGCTGTCAAAAGCGGGGGAGAAAAATATTATTGTGGGGGGGGGAAGGGCTGAGCTCCACCTGACCCCCGCCCCTCCCTCCCACAGGGCCGTTGTGGGGCCGATGCATGCTGGTGCTGTATGCAGTGGAGGAGCAGCTGCACACCAAGCAGTGCCAAGTGCTGTGGGACAGCAGCACTGTGGTGCTGCTGGTGTTGCCAGCTGCCATGAAAAGTTTGTGGGGACTAAGCCTAATTAGCCGCAGCCTTCCGCCGCCTATGGTTGCTGCAGCACCGTGTTACGGAGACCGTAGCATCCCTGGGGGTCTACATGTGACCAGCATCTCCACTGCTGTAGTTGACGTGCTCCCCGATATAGTGTGTCACTATGGCGAAGTAGCTGCTAAAAATAACTGCGCCGCATGCGTGGCGCAGGTTGGGCTGTTACTGTGCCATGATTTTGTACTCCCAAAAGGAAGTACAAAATCATGGCACAATAACTTCTCCATAGCAACACGTGTAGATGCACCCTATGTGTAATAATCAGCACAAACAGAATTTCTGGGCTCCAAAAACTGGGCCAAAAGGTAGAAGAGAATAATAGGATAAATATCTCAGTTAAAATACACGAGGAGAAATGAACCTGTAGTTTCAAGTTTAGCCCTGAAAAGTTATTTTTATTCTGAATGCTCCAAAAATAGGTTTTCATCATAAACCTCTCTCAGCAGCAAATTGAACAAACTATGCCTAGCATACTACAGCCAAAACAGCACGAACCTATTTCAGAGTGGAAGTATTGTCACAGAACTGAACGTTGGTCTAAACCAGGGGTTCCCAACGTTTGTGTCCAAGGGCATATTCAAATTTAAAAGAAAAAGCAGCAGGTGCCAACATGAATATTAAAGTATTTAGATCAATAAAGATTAAAGTATTTAGATCAATCTGATCAGTCCTGTGTGGGGAATAAACCTTGGGGGCGCTGCATTGGGAACCACTGGTCTAAACTGTTTTCAGTGCAAAGATTTTGCCAACATTATAGGAAAAATATTCAGTTCTGGAGACTGTTTTTTTTTCAGATTTAATAATTGTAATAAGTACCATATTTACGTGAATTGACAATGACCTCTCCATAATTATACATGGAAAATTATTTTAAAAAATTATAATCTTCCATGTACAAAATCTAACTTTTGGAGGGTGTTCTTAAATTTATCCCCTCACCACCATGGTGAGGAAAGCAGGGGTAGGGGGCAGGCAGCCAGATCCCTCCCCTTACCCCAAGTCTGCCACCTGCCCCTTGACCCCCTGTGCCTATTTCTGCCCCCCCACTTGTTCCCAGCCCCCTCTGCTGCCTGCTACCCACTATATGCTCCCCCCTGCTGCTTGTCCTCTGCCTGTTGTCCCCCACAGCCTGTAATGGTGACCCTGGCCCTAGCCCAGCCTGGCCAGGCAGGAGAAGAGGTGGCAGCTCCAGGCCCAGCCAGGTCAGGGGCAGAGCTTTTTCCCGCTTCCCTTTTCCACACTACCTTCACTGCTCCCCTGTACTCCTTCTGCTATGTGCCCCCTCCCCTGCCACATGAGCCACCCCAGGCCAGGGCAGGTGGCGATTCAGCTCCAGCTTTGTAGCCGGGGCCACAGCAGCCACCTACCCTGGGCTGGTACTCTAAGACACGGCTTTCTTCCCCATATTGAATGGGATGGAAAAAACACCCCTGTCTTTGATTTGTGCAAATAGGATCTTTTTTAAATGTTCTTTGATTTATTTAGCACCTGTTAACTAAATAAATCTGTTTGGTTTCTCCCTTGAACAGCTATTGATTTAATTTGTTTGTTATTTTTTATTTTTAAAGGCTTTGCAAATTAACGAATTTACTGGTCTAAACTTTTGCCACAACAACACAACTGTGGCTGGAGTCAATCTAAGCTGCCTCAGTCATAGTCCTTTTACAGTGTGAGTATGCATTTATTAGAAATAAAATCCTTGCAAGCATCACAGACAAGTAAACTAGAAAACTGAATTTGAGATTTTTCTTGCTCTACCCATGGTGCCTCTGCTATGAGTGGGTCTGTGATGTTATATCTGAACTACTGGACTCAAGAGTAGTCTGGAATAAAGCAGATACCAATACACTGAGCTTGATTCACTTGCTTGCATTGGATGCTAATTTAGTTTTAAGCATCCATCTGATATTGTTTGACTCTCCCTCAATGCCTCTTATTATAGAAACAAGCAGAGGGGAGAGTGACCTAAAAAAATGACCTGTTTCATGCTTCAGAGTCATGCTTCACAGTCTTTAACATATTCATCACCACAGCATTTGTTTGAAGAAAAGCATTATTCCTATTTGCAGATAACTGCCCAAGATCATAAGAGATCTGTGGCAGAACAGGTAATTAAACTGTGTCTCCTGAGCTGCAGGCTAACAGCCTACTCATTGATCTGCCCACTTCCTTTGTTCTTTCTTTGCTTTTCACTGCTCCTTCTTAACACTTACAATACACAGTTCAGTTACCAGACCACTCGAGTACAGGGAACAATTTAAAACTTTTTTTAAAACTAAGAGCTTTACATTCAGAAATGTTCCAGTACATACCTCACATGATTCCAGAGAAGCTAGAAACCTAACAAAAAAGCATCTTTAGAAAAGCACATATTGCTATGTATTTTATCTTGAAGTTTCTCAAAAGAAAAACATTTTCCTCTCCTTTTGCTTCTTTCTGATATAGATTATTTTTCTATGGGTTTCTTTTCTGAATAATTTATTTTAACCTTAGGATTATCATAGTTTGTCTTTTCTGTTTTGCTGGAAGTCTCTAGAAGACAAGGAGGATGGACTAGCTTCTTAAACAAGTAAGCAATGTGTCTTTGTCATGCATAACTTCAACAAAAGCCAACAAATCATGCAATTTTAAAACAGGATAAGATATGGATTTTCAACTTCTATTAGAACTCACACTTAAAAATTAACTTTACAGGTCTTTGATAGAACAACAATAATAAGAAAAGATGACAACTATTTTCTTTTGCAGAGCATGTTTAACTAAAATAAATTAGCAGAACAATAGATACTGTTGCAACTTGGAATTAATTTCATGAATCAGTGGAAAATGAAGACTGATGTGCAAACTCCAAAACTATTTAAGGATTCATTTTAGATAGGTGAAGAAAAGTTTGTACATTTTAAACTATTTCAAGCTATGCTGGGGAAGAGAGAGAGAGAGAAGAACAGGTTAACTATTATTTGAATGAACAGATAGGGCACTAGCTGTTGCTGCTGCTCTCTGAGCCAGCTCAGCCCAGAGAAGAGCAGCAGCCAGGCAGTGGCCAGGCAGGCATTTTAACCCTTTCCTGCCTGCTTCCTCAGGACAGACAGTGTGGACAACCACAAGTAAGCCATGTGGGGAAAGCCCTGCGGGGTAGGAGTGAAGCCCGGAATGGATGGGGATGTGATTCTTATCTTTCCATCCTCCAGGCCCCTGCTGGCCTGAATTGACTGCTCCAGATTCAAACTAGCACTAACACCAATCAACATTTGTGTGGCTCATACTGTAACATGCAGCAAGACCCATAGTCATTGTAAAGTAGTTTAATAGCTGTTCTTGAAAACCAGAGCTTCTTCACAGCAATAGGAAACACATCGTGGGCAGAGAAGAATCTGCTCCATTTTCTAGTAGTTTTCTAAACAGTTCCCATAAAGGATTCAGAAGAGAGAAAGTCCCCCTACTAGTTCTTTGTGGTCCCAGAAATCACTTCAAATCTTGCTAGGCAGACAAGAAACCTACCTTGCTTTTGCAGTAATGATGAATTAGGTTCCATGCAGACCAGAAACACCTATATTTATCAGACTGGGCATTGAAAGAGAATTGTTCTGCAGAGATTCTCCATTAATTTTGATACATTGAAAAAACTCAAATCAGGAAGATTCATAAATCTAGCTGAGCTCACATTTCAGATGCAAAGGAAAACAGACAACTCTCTGGAGCAAGAACTACCTTTGTTTGTACAGCACCCAGAACAAAGGGATGCTAGAGTACAGATAGGGTAATCAGCAGGGTTCTGGATTTCCTCTGATAAAAAAAAAAATCTAAAATTCTGATTAAAAACCCTGAATCTATGTTTTTCTGTGATTTAAAATGAAACACCACTATATATATAGGTACCAGTTGGCCACAATGTTTTATTGATACATTAACAAATTTAAAGCCAGTTAGAAGCCTACCAGCGCCTCAATCATTATAATAAAGTAAATTCTAAATACCTATATATTTTGGTGTTTGATTTCATTATTTTATTTTTTATCATGGAAAATCAGAGCTCCCCCTGGGCCCTTCATTCACCAGGACGCGGACCCAGCTGCATCTGTCTCCCTCACTGCTTTGTGGCGCTGAGCAGCCTTGGTATGCCTGTGCCCTGCCCATGCCATTGCCCTTCACTCCCAAGCCACAGCCCCCCACCCTCCGAGCCCTGTTGGTGCCCTTCACTCCCAACCCACAACCCCTGCTTCCTCCCATCCCCCTGTCCCCACCAGGGACCTTGCTGGTGCCCTTCACTCTAAACCCAGAGCCCCCTGGCCCTACTAGTGACCCTCACTTCCAACCCACAACCCCCCACCCCACTAACTGTTAGTGCCTCTAACTCCCAACCTGTAGCCCCCTGCCCTGCCAGCGGGGGCCCCCAGCTGCCAGGGTTATGGGACCCAGCACCTGCATTCTGCCCACTCCCTGCTCCACAGGCATCAGCCACAGCTGGTCAGCAGCGCCTGAGCCTTGGCTGCCATGTATGGAAGGTGGTGGTGGCTGCTGCAGCCAGAGCAGAGTGTGGAGCCTAGTACCCCCACTCTCCCATAGGCAGCACAGCTGAAGCAAAAGCCAGGTGGAGCCCATGGGGGGCAGGGGCCAGGGAGGATTCAGGCTGCTTGCTGCGGGGCTCAGAGTTCCCTACCCTACTGCCTTCCTTCCATGGGCCTCTGCACCTTAGTGGGCAGGACCTGGCGTGAGAGGGCAGAGCAGGATGGGGAGACTGAGTACCATCTCCACTGCCAGTATCCTTTTCTGGTACGAAGGTATTATTAGATTGGTTTCCACACAGCTCTTACGATGCAGGGGAGGAAATTTCCATTTTTGCCAATTATTCCAGTACAAATAATATTTAAAACTGTGTGTTTACCCTTTCCACTCTACTTCTGCATTTCACTGCTCACTGTATCTCAGTAGTAACAAACAGAAAAAGCTGCTGTGCAACAGCATTAGAAAGGTCTTTCCTAATACTTTACACTCCATTATCAGTCTCTCTTTACCCTCAGTCCACTCTGGTAGTAATGGCCAAAACACAAAGCAGGAGTTTTACTTTCCTGCAGAGGATGACTTAGACACACAGTTGTCTTAATGTTTATACAGGATATTGATTTGTTCTCTTAGTGTTACAAATTGGTTCCTGGAGTATTTCTACAGTTTTGGGAGAAATCCTTTGGTGACTTGAGCAGAAGGATAAGATTTGGAGTCTACAGCAACATCTTTGGACGACCTCTAAAGTTCATGGGTTTATTCAGGAAGCACTAATATGTTATTGATGAATGAGCAAAGCAGCTTCTAAAAGAAAGCAGGATCAGATGAAAAAAATCTCACTTTAGACATGACAACTTCTTTTGTATTAGGGATTCAACTGACCTCTTATTTAGCAAAAGGGACTGTGAGAATCAGTTCTGTGGCTCTTGTATCCATAGCAAATTTCTCATTACATAGCTAAAATTCTATTTTGTGAAAGTCTTTTCATACAACCTGTTAGCAAAAAAGATTGGAAAGAGGAGTTTCCTTTAGGTCACATATGCTACTGAACTGTAGTTAGCTAATGTATTTGTATTTTTCCACACACTGTCTGGAGTTAAAGGTTTACTTTCCCCCACAGTGGGTATGCTGAAATACTAACATGATCAATGGGCAGAGGTCTCACAAAAGTTGGTATTTATTCAAGCTAATCAGAACTGAATATTGAAATTCAATTTCAGTGTTAAACATGAGGTTCAAATGATCTATTTTTTCTTAAATAGGTTAATATATATCGTCAGAGTTCTCTTGTGTGTTCAGCAATAGCCTTTTTCAGCAGAGCTGTGAAAACTGGCAAATTAACTCTTCAGTTACAGATGTTTAGCAAAGGGTTAACTTTCTAAACCTCAATTTGTATTGACTAGATGCACTGGAGAAGAGTATCTGAAAATACAAGGCATCGAAGTGACAGCTTGGGGCATGTGGAAGAATTACATGGCTCTTATATGCATGACATTAATTTTCCTGACAATTGCATATGTGAAACTCCGCTTCCTGAAGAAATTATCTTAACTCCACTGTGTTAAAAAACCTTTAGTAACACTAAATATTTTCAGTGGCGTGTATTTATTGTGAAAGCTACAAAGAACATAATTCAGTAAAGATTTTAATTATTAAAAGGTAACATGTTCAGTTTTTCTTAGTGGGGCCTATTGCTGAACTGCAGCAATTCCAAGTCATATGCATAGAGATAGCAGAGAGCTTGCACTTTAGGCCTAGAGTTTCCTAATGCTCTAAATCTTGCTATGAAAGGCATATATCTGTGGTACGCGAAACAGTGGCTATCAAGGGGCCTAACAAACAGCCCAGCCTGGGCTAATTGCCTAGTGGGCCATATCTGCCTGAGGTTTTAATTGGCCACCCTAACACCTAATGACTCCAGCTGGCTCCTATTTTGGCCTCCTGATTGGCTGCTGGGTGAGCAGCTTCCCCATTTAGTGCCAGCTGTGGCAACAGACTCCAGGCCAGTCAACGGTTCCTGCTGATGGTCTATCCTGGCAAGCCTGTGACATCTAGTAGTCCTGGTTTCCTGACCCTACTCACTCTGTTCCTGGACTCTGGATTTTCCTTTTATGTGGGGGTTCAGCCTCCGAGTCCTGAATTTACAGAGCTTGTGATTCACACCTTGCTCCTGGATTTCCCCTGAATCTAGTCATTTGGTATCTCTTTCATGACCCAGGATTAGGACTGTTTCAGATGGTATATTTGTCTCTGGCCTCTGGTGGCCTAACCAGTAGGCTACACTGCCCACAACCCAAACCATTACAATGGCAAAGCAGAGTAGAGGAAAAGTGTAAACCAAGAAGCAATTCTGAGGTATTAAGATGACTAGATAAAGACCTACTCTACATTACCTGCAGTAACAGCAATCTGAAAACAGACCTACACATGTATATATACAGAAACAAATATGAAGTATATAGGCTACTGACTATACCTTTAACTAACTAGGATGGTGCAAATGGGGCAACCATCCTGACGGCTGACTTGGAAGATGAAAAAACAGCTTTGCAGATGCATAGCGATGGCGCAGCTGCCAGCAAGTGGCAACTGGAAGTTGCTGCTGCCCTTGCTCCCCAGGCACCTGGCCATGTCTCTATTGTGCTGCTTAAGGTAAAGTAATTGAGAATTTAGTTCTGCTGTCTCAGTACAGATGCTGATCCTGCATACCACTGAGTGAAACTAACCTGACCCTTTACGTGCTTACCATGATTCTTCCATGCCTCTGTCTCTTTTTCAAATTTAAACTAAAATGGATGGATGGAAGGAGGTAGAAAGGGGGAAGCAACTGGATGTGCACAATGCCATGACCAATTGAAACTGCAGCCCTTTTTTGATCCATAACACAAGTTGATATACATTATTAGTTTTACATCCTATAAAATCTTTATTAGGAAGTAAAGTGCTCAGTATTACAGACCAATAAATCTTTGATCTCTGGGGAAGACTTGCATAATTAACAGCTTCCTAAAAAGATCAAATATAAAAACAAAGACTTTACATTCTTTACTATAGATAAAAACCTTTCCTCTAGGAGGAAAGAGAGATACACAAGAATCTAAAATTAAAATGAAAAGAAAAAAAAGATCATCATAAACATGTATAAAACATTTGTCAAGTTACTATGGTACATTGTCAACGTACACGGGTACCCCATGAAAACTTACTGCACTTCAAAATGAAGTTTGTTATTAAAGTAACGACACGTTACACAGGTATATATGAACAAGTATAGCTATGAATGCAAACATTTTGATTTTCATAATTAACATATACTACAAAACAAGAAAAGTTTTGCAATTGATATTACAGTTTTAAAAGGTATAAGTTTGATATACATTTATTTAAAGCCATACTGATAGTTAGTGATTTTTTTTTAAAAGACCTCAGTAACAAATACAAATACCCATAATGCAGTTTCCTCTTCTGCAATATAGTACCATGATTCTCTCTTACCTTTGTATTAGACTAATGGGCAGAAGAAATTTAAACTGAACACAAGATACCTCTTTCCTGTGAATGTAGATCATGTTGCTAGATGACTGATTTTGAGCATTAAATACATGCTATGTATAATACTGGACCTAGCATTTCTGGAATACTGGACAATAAACCAACTCTCATTTTAATACAACTTATAAAAAAATATCACTACATTAAACTTCAAATAAGCCAATTGAACCATGAATTACATCCGTGACATAACCTAACTTCTAATACAGGAAAAAGGCTTTGTGTACTAGTACACCAGACACTCATATGTACTGATTTCTTGTTCATTTGGCACTGGCTGGTCTTGACTAGAGCAATTCAGCAAAAATTTTTAGCTTTTGCAGAAAAATACTAATTTATCCAAACAAACTTTTTCATGAGAGTATCTGTTTCAATGAAGCTTTTGTCAGCAAAGGCTTCTCTTAAGAGTCAGATATTTCTTGTCAAGATGAGGGAAATCCAGGTTCAAGTCTTTGACATTTCAGCCGAGGATCCTACCCACTGGGATGCTGGCCACTCTAAAGTGCAAGAAAACTCTCTTTTTCAAAGGTCTTGATTTTGTTTCCATGTTGAATGGGAAAGTTTTTATGAAGTCTTACAGAGAGTTACATGGGACGTGAAACTTTTCTACTAGTTCTTGTCTTAACTCATAGTTTTGGGAAATTCCAAGTCCCAGGATTAAAATGGCTCCTTCTGCTCCCCACTTCATTTGAGTACATTTTGGTACATTCAATGTCCAGTGAACTTTAATGTATAAAAAAAGACAACTCTGGAATTAATTGTACTTTGTCAGGTCCTTTGATCACAGGGAATGTGTTTTAGGTGCTATCTTAAGAACAATGCAAGTGCAGGCATTCTTAGATTTAGGAATCTATGTAGTATGCATATCTACATTTACTCCTATGTCAAAACAATATCCCCATAAAAATTAAAGATACTTAATTACAAGAAGCGCTGTATTAAGCAATATGAAAATCACTAGCATAAATAAGTGCTATTTATCTTCTGATAAATAGACATCTTTCATCATATTCATTACAAATCACTAAACTTGGAAACATTCTTCATTTAAATATGTAGCTTTCTATCTTCCCTTAAACCTAATTGAGTCTCTAGGTAGAAGGCAACAGGGACCTGCAGTAAGACTCCATGCTCCAGTGTATCCAGGATTACTATTTAAAGTTCTGTGTATTTTGCCTCAATTTTTTTTTTTTTTTTTTTTAATAGGGAACCAAAATCTTTTTTTTCAGTACTGTTACTGCTTTAGAAGCCTACTGCAGTCTCAGTAAGCCCAGCATGTTGTGTACTAGCAAGTGCTGGTTATACAAAAGTCTTCAGATATATAGAGAAGCAATGAAACTCATCATGGAAAAAATATTTCTGAAGAAATGCCCAATGGCAGAACATGCAAGTTTGGTAAATGTAAAATGAAGTAGCTAAACGTGCACTTGAACAACAACTGGCACAAATACTTACTAAACTTGCTAAAACTTTCAAGACGTCAACATTTTCCTTCTTAAAAACTTGTTATTTTCCATGTAGTCCATAGAACGGCTGAAATTGTTTGAAACAACTCTGTTGTGAAAACTCTTTGTTTTTCAACTTGCTGTATGTTTACCTAGTGCCTGCATACAATTAATTGTAGAAAGTACATGGACAATTGCAGGCTCAGTTGTAGAAGGGGAGTTCAGGTCTACATTAGAAAATTTGGCCATAAAAAGCCAAGTATGAAGACACAAAGAAAATAATCAGCAAATCAGCTGGGTAAAAAGGCCATTCCCACAGACAGCCACCTTTTAAAATACTACAGGAAGGTCAACTGCATAACCCTCTGCTTCATAAAAGAGTCCATTTATGAACTGAATATGCCTCCTCCTGTCATATATATAAAAAATGGGAAACTTTCATTTAAAATAAATTTAAATACTAGAACAGAGGAAAACTTCAGAATGTGGGGAAAATATGCAATCTGTCTAACTACAATTGGCTGGTCTTCTATACTTCATAATTATTGTGTCAGATATATTTAAAAAAAAAAAAAAAAATCAAACTTTGAAAAAAGACTCATGGCACAGCAACTCCTTAGTTTCCAATATTACCTGATGGGAAAAAGATGTTTTTGGTTCTACTTTACATATGCAAAGTTAGCCCCTGCTAACCCACAGCCTTAAGATAGCAGTCATTAGAGACATTACCTCAATAAATTAAATGAAGATAGGAAAACACCAGTAGCTAATTTCAAGAATCATATGGCACAAGCCCTAGAGCACAGCCACTTCTGCTTGAAACTGCTGGTGGCCTTAAAGCTAACATAGCTGGCCATAGGCTTAGTTATCTTTGTAGCACTGATGGTATGGTTCCAGCTCCCCACGCTTTTCTTGTTGCTGCTGACTCAGTGATTGTTAGAGAGATCCTTACGACTTTCTAACCTCCAGCTGATGCACCATTACCTTGAAACCACTGGTACCTAGTGTAAATTTAGAGCCTATAATAGACTCCTCTGAATTAAGCACAGAGACCATCTGGAAACAGAATAGATTTAGAGTCAGGGAAGCACAAGGTCACCTTTGCCCAGTCTCCTAAAATCATACCGCGCAGTCCAAGGATCTGCAAGGATACAATACACACACACACACACACACGAACGAAAGAATTGTACAATGGCAAGGAGAGAGAGATTATATAATGTTAGGTTATTTCTATTGTATGGCCTAAGATCCTTGGACTGCGCAGTATGATTTTAGGAGACTGGGCAAAGGTGACCTTGTGCTTTATATATTACACACACACACGCACGCACGCCCGCACCAAATCACTGGAGCTTTCCTTTAATGTTTGTTCACGGTGATTATCACTGTTTTGGAGAAACACATGCCAACAGCATATTTGCTGTTGTAATACCAGACTGAAATGTTAAGAATCTACAGACAAGAAATACTACACATGGATGTTACCTCCACCATTTCCTCCTCCCCCTCCCCCATCAACACCATCTGACTGTGAGGAAGATGGACGGGAATTCCTTGAGCGAGGCTGGCTGGTCAGTCCAAGTGGTGTTCCCAAATGGTGGCTCATCTGGGATGCTGTGTCATCTGACTCCCAACGCTCCAGTTCCTCTCGCACTAGCCGCTCCATCTGTTCCCTGTGGATTTCATTGTCGCGTCCTAATCTTTCATCCTAAACATGTAGAAGATACAAACTCAGGAGGGAATCTTCAGAGCCCCATTGTGAGCAAAATTAGATAGAAGGTGTGAAGTAGCTTTGTCTCAGACCAACACAGCTACCAAATACATCCAAGTAGCTTGATAAGTGTTCAATAAATTAATAAATAAATAATAATAAAAAAAACAAACTTATGAACAGTCCAAGAAAGAAATACAATTATTCCAGTAAATGATTTTTCTCCCTAAGAGCATGTCTCTAATGCTTTTACTGCCTTGATTTGTGAAAAAATATTGTACTGTTATAACTTACAACCGTATCATCATTCACCAAGAAAAAAAGTAAAAAATAGATGGATGAAGTTACCATGCAACCCATAAGAAAAAGGAGAGATCTTAGTTGCAAAAATCCCATGACTATGTGGGAAGGAGAGGTGCACATCTTCCATGATGAATTAATGGTCATGGTCTCTGAGGCGGCTTTGTACTAAAGTAGACCTGTCCAACCAGTGGCCCACAGGCCACATTGGGATCAAGACGAGTTAATGTGTGGCCCATGGGCTCATACCCAGTCACCACTTCCCTTTCATTGCTCTGGCTACTGCAGCGGCTGGGATGTCTGGAGCAGGCAGCATGGTGGGAGGCCTAATGATCTTGCTGCCTACCAGGGGAATGGGGCAGAGGGAGTGCTACTGACATGGTGGTGACAGTGGTGGGAACAGAATCATGCCTCAGGACAGTTGCATGCAGTGAGGGTCTGGAGGAGTCAGTGACCCCAGCACAGGGATGGACAAAATACAGCCCGTGGGACAGATCCAGCCCACCAAGCGATTTTATCTGGCCCACACCAAATACAGCCCACCGGGTCCCTTGGGCCCACCTGGCCCAGGCATGGGAGGCAGCCTGGGCTGTGGTGCATGTGGCTGCTCTCACCACCCCTGGGTGTGCAGCAGGGCTGGGGTGGTGCAGTGGCAGCTCCTTCCAGCTGCTGCCACTAGTAATGCCACTGATGCCAAACTGCTGCCCAGGCTCCCCAGCCCATCCACCACCAGGAGTGCCAGACAGTAGGCAGGTGGGGTCTCCATGGAGACTGGTTGAGACCTGCACGGGCAGGGTATGCTTGGCCAGGCAGAGGGGATGGGGCCATGGGCAGGCAAGGAGTGGCATTCGGGAATGGGACAGGTGGGTGGGGGCAGGGCATGATCTGCTGGCCACATGCCCCTGAAACAGGCCCTGGTTCTGCAGGCAGGGGTGTGGGGATCACACTGCAGCTCTGCCTTGGTGGGGCCCAGCCCTGCAGCACTGCCCTGTGATTCCAGCCCTGCCCACCCATCCTGCTCCCAGATGCTGTTTCCCACTTGCCTGCAGCCCCATCCCACCCGCATACCTGAACATGCCCTGCCCACGGGGGTCCCAGGCCAGTCTCCATAGAGACCCTGGGGTTGGGGCTCCTGGGTGTTGATGGTGCAGGGCTGGGGCCAGGCCGAAATCCGCTCTCAGGTCTAGTAATCTACCACTTAGGGAGTTTTTCTGAGCTGTTGTGGGCGGGGGAGGTGGGAGGAGGGAAGTGGGGGGCAGGTTGCTGACTTGGCCTGCAACAGCTCACCAAAACTCCCTGTAGCTCTCTAGCCCAAATAAAACTGCCCACCTGTGCCCTTGCAGCATATAGCCTGCCCGGTGCATAACTTGGGCTCGTGACCCCTGTGGCATGCAACCCCTGGCTGCTCTAAATTTGGACATCCCTCCATTAAAGCAAATACTGTATCATCTGAAGAAAAGGTAAATGGACTGTCTTACTAAATACCCAAGTACTAAATATCTTACTTACTGTCTTACTAAGCAACATAGTTCCATTCAGGTTTTCATACCAGGGCTATCAGCATGGACTACATGCCGATTCATTATGATGTTAGTCTCCACTCAAACTCTGATCAAGAGCTTCTGAATAATACAAAAAGACCATGATAGTCACTGCCCTGGCACCACTCAAGTGTTTACCACTCTGTTATTGCAACTTACTGTAGTCCCACTGCAGAAGTGGTAGAGAAGAGAAGTCCTTGTGGGAAAAGTTCATCTTCTAACTTGTCCCAGACTACTGTCTGGTTGGTGTTCAATCAGATCAGAATGAGAGTTTCTCACCTCTATAACTCCATCCAGAAGCCTCCCCAGAACATCTCTCCTTTTCAGTTTGGACCTCTCCATTGCTTCAAGCTTTACAATAACTGCATCAATCTTGGAAACAATACTGCCTATGGAATGCTCCATGCGATCCACTCGTCTCACCAGCCTGAAGGCAATAAATATTTTTTTAAAAGCTCATAAATATTAAAGTCAATTTGGTTTTACCTAACTTATGTAGAGAAACTTCACTGAGTTTTTAGTCATAGGTTTAATTAAAATAACTACAATAATCTTTATTTTCCCAGAGGGAAAAGGTATATAGAAAAAAAAGAGAAGGTGATAAGCAAACCCCATATCCTTTCTCTTTTTTTTTGGAGGACCCATAAGAGACTACTGGACAGGGATCACCCAAACAGTGCTCGCTACCACTTTTGTTTTTAGTGACATGCGATTATACTGGGAAGGTGAAACAACCCTTAAGTGCTACTTCCACAGTACTCCTGGGACCCTGAACTTGCATGTCAGCAAACTGTCACTAGAAAGAGATGTCAACATTCCCATGGCTAATGTTATTTTGATCTGAACACCAGCTGTAATTGTGTTAGGTGTTAGAGGTTTGCATGCTGCACAATATCCAACTTTATTAAAATTCATCCAAGAAAAATCTGACACTAGTTTGTGACTTCTTGATCAGAAACCCATGTAAGCGACAGAAAGAGTAGCTTAGTTTATATTATTCCCCAAGTTACTTTCCTCCTCTCCTGCAACTTACTGATACAGGAAGCAAGAAATAGAAATTAAAACTGAATTTGATGTAAATGTTTCAGCTGGCACTAGTTCTATCCAAAACTAATCAACATCATGCACAGGAACAAAGAAAATACAGCCAACATACATTTCATGCTCTATATGCCAATCTGCACACTGCTGGGATACCAAGCAGTCCTAGCTGAACAATGGATATGATCAAGTCTACCAGTTCTAGCTGCCCTAATTAATGACCGGGTATTCAGACCAATTATGCAATCATAAATCATACTAGTCTTTGGACTTGCTCACATATTTCTATTATACAAATAAATAAAACGATTGCTATGGATGTGTGCATGGGGACACTGCCCTCTGGCTGGAGCATGACAGTCACCTCCAATCAGGGACAACAGGAGGTGCTCTTTTGCTTCTGACTCCCACAGCAGAGAGACAGAGCAGGGCAGCAACACTGCTGTGGCGGCTGCTGTAGAGCTATTCTGTCAATCAGCAGACTGGCCACCAACTTGGCAAGAAGCAACTAAGCACAGCTGCAGCTTTGCTCCCCACAATTTGTCAAGGAATCAGCCACTCCCTCTCCTTTTGTCTTAGTGAAGGGAGGGAAAGTGGAGTACTCTGGGATGCTATAGAAACTAAAAGACTCCCTGTAGCAGTACAAAAAGTTCCCAACTGAAACATGTAGACAAAAGTTCTTTGGGTAGATGTGATATCTTTTATTAAACCAACTGAGTAGTTGGAAAAAAGTTCTTTGCAAGATTTTGGGTGCAAACACCCTTCTTCAGGCATAGGGAGTCTCTGCTGTTCTGAGACTCCAAGGAATGAAAAAAGGTTAAAGTGCATCAGGACATCAGTGAGAATGTAAATAGGTAGAAATTAGTAAAACAAAAGGTAGAACAGGGAAGGGGGGTGGGAAAGCAGGGAAAATAACCCCAAAAAGGTGAGTAAAGGGAGACTCTACCATAGTAGTAATTCAAGGTAGAAAAGAGGCCGACTGCGAAAGTAAATAACTGGAAATTAGGAAGACAATGGGCAGAAATGGAGGTAAGGGGAAGAAAGGGGGGCAGAGAGAAAGGAGTACAGGGTCAGGTCTGGCAGGTATGTGGTGAATCAAAAGTCAGGCAGGTTGTAATGTGTCATAAATTCAATGTCTATATTGAGTCCCTGATTTTTTGTATCCAGTAGATTTATGAAGTGAAGTTTGTAGGCTTATCTACAAAAGGTGTTTTGTAAGTTCCCTTTGAGGATTAGAACTGAGAGATCAGAGAGGGAGTGACTGTCTTGTGAGAAGTGTACACCCACAGGTAACTGGGTATTCTTGTCTTTAATAGATTTTTGGTGTGCATTCATTCTGGTGCACAGTTGTTGTTTGGTTTCTCCTACATATTTTCCATCAGGGCATTTGGTGCATTGGATGAAATGCACTACATTTCTGGAGGTGCAGGTGTAAGATCCAGGAATGGTGATGGGCCTGTTGTGGGGTGTGGCTATTGTGGGAGTGATGGACATGCGCTGGCAGGTTTTACATTTTTTGTCCTGGCATTGTCTGGTTCAGGTCATAGGGAGTTTGCTTCTGGTGATGTTAATGAGGTTCGATGCTTGTTTGAAGGCTAGGATGGGTGGTTCTGGAGAGATCTCTTCAAGAATTGTCTCTTCTTCTAGTATGGGTTGCAACTGCTTGAAGATTCTGTGAAGGTTCCAGGGAAGGGTGATGTGTCATAACTAATGGTGTGCGATTTGTGGGGATTTTCTTTTTGTACTGCAGCAAATCTTCATGTGATATCTGGGTGGCTCTTTCAAAACTGTGATCTCTCTCTGTGGAGGAGTGTCTTTGTTGGCTGAAGGCCCTTTTGAGATATGTGAGTTGGCCATCAAAACGGTCCATTTAACCCTACCCCTCCCCAAGCCTGCCAGCCACTGTATTAGAATGGATGCAGTTCTTCCACAGTGGAGTGGGAGGCGCTAACTTACACTCAGGTCTGATATGGCTTATTCTGACTAAAGACTAAATGTGGAAAAATCCATATTTGCACCAACTCTTGTTTCTTAAAGCACTCACTAATATTTTTATTTTCATCTAAGCCATTTCATTTCAAAACAGCTTTAAAAGCAGAAGGAGACTTCAAGGTGAGAGCTATTATCAGATTTAGCATAATCCCTTCATAAGGGATTACAAATATTTCTGAAAGATTTAATTTGATCAACATCCAAGGTTATTCAAAAGACCAACACAATCTGAAACTAGCATATGCACTTACACATTCCTCATACTACTGATTACACTTACACTTGGAATTCTTCATATGAAACCCCACTCGAGCTGCTACCCCTTCTTCTGGAACTGTGTCCACTGTCCTCATCATCATCCTCTTCAGAGTCATCCAGACTGCGAGGGAAGCTGCGACTGCTCAATGGACGAGGAAGAGAACTCCTGTCCAGGTCCAGATCCTCCTTGATGGAAAAAAACAAACAAATTGTTAAGACCTCATGTTGGTGAGAGTCCAGACTGCATGACCACTTCATTCACTGACAAACCCACCCCTGTTCAGTTTTGCTGGGACTGAAAGTTAGACAATAGCAATGCAAAACTAATGTAAAGGAAAATTAGTACTTAAAAACACAAATGATCCACCTGATGGTGATTACGTTCCTACTGTTGCCCTGAAACATGACTTACCCTTTCTTTCTCTAGGTCATCTCTCATTTGCTGATGTTCATGTTCTGTCAATTCCTGATCCCCATCCTGGTCATACTTAGTAAATATTGCTTCAATTTCTGCATCAGTATGACCCTTCCTGAAATGAAAATATAAACATACCCCTGCTTATTTCTTCTTTAAATATGGAACAGGTCAAAATATTGAAGAAAACCCAGTATTAAGTGAAGTATTTTCTCTAGAATTCAGAGACATGTTAATCCAGTGCTGCCCATAATCTCTCTCACTGGGATTCGGGATTCGAAGTCTGGTAAACCAAGATGACAAAGATTGGTTACCGGCCACCAACTGATAGCATGGCAATCTTTCCCTCAAGTCCAGAGCTTCCAAAGTTTTTCCTGATTTCGAATGGTATCACACTCTCTGGTGTGGACTTCATTTAAGAAAGCTTTCTTCTTTCCAAATCCTCAATGGTATCTGCCACTGAGGGAAAAGAATGCAATGGATCTGCCATTTGGAGTTGTAGCCTGACCACCTACATGCTATTAACACTGAAGCACAAAATTTACCATGAGCTTTCCTAGCTCCTGCTCCAAAGGCTTGGGAACAGAATGACATTGTAAATGATTTTGCATTCAAGAACAAACCTTTTCTATGGTAATCTCTTTAGTACGACCTATTATTTAGTTGGAAAAGAGATGTTAGACAAAGTTACAGGCATGAGTGCCCTTCTTCAAGCCTGGGCTTCTTCAGGATTGAAGAAGGGCACTTTGTGCCCAAATACTTATCTAACATCTCTACCAGCTAAAGAACTGGTCCAGTCAAGAGATGACCATAAAAACCCTGTTCCTTGCATATTTCCTGAACCATCAGAGCTACAGTGATACCTCAATGTTACTTCTATGGGCATTTGAGGAAAGAAAAGTTATTCATTTAGCTCTCTGCTAAATCAACTAGAAAGTAACACCTTTTATAAGACAAATATCCCTTCTCTTTTTGCCTCCCCTTCCCTCCCACTCACCCATAAAATCCTGCAAGTCAAGTAAAAGGTCTGCTGCAGAAATGCTGAAAAAGAAAATCAGTTTGTCTATAACCACTGTCCTTTATGGAGAGCAACCCCTTTCATAGCGCCCTCCCCCTGACCCAAAACTTACTGGTCAAGACAAAAATAAAAGTATTGAATCAAAACATGATCATGTTGCTCAAATGCCACATTCTAAGTCTCCCAGTCTTATGATCACCATCCCACTTAAGGCATCTTGCACCCAATGGGCACTGTTACCAGTCCTCCCTCCTAATGGTCCTAGAACTTCCCTGATGTAAGGGTCCAACTCCCAGACAGTATGATGAGACAGGCCAAGAAAAAGTTGTTACTTCCCTTCTATCCCATACTAGTATCCTCTCAATCCTGTCTCCATTTTAATTTGGGGTTTTGTTTTTTATAATTCCCATCGACTTCGCATTATATGTTTATGTCAGAAACCATCCATTAGATTTAAGGGAAATGTCTGCTTTATTACGAGCCCATCATTCATTAAAGCAATCATACACATTATCTATATATGCACTAATAAACCTTAACCAAGACTTATCTTGTAAAATAGGAGTCTCCTTACCCTTTCAGATCCTGACGTAGTTCATCAAAGTTTAACTTGCCCCCACCTTGTCGCAGGCTCTCTGAAATGTCATCAACAGTTGTTTTTTTCAATTTAAGCCTGATCATAGCTCTATTGTATCCCTAAAAGAGCAAATAAAACACTAGTTCTCTCTCCAAGAATGCTTAAGCTTTGTTTCTAATAGCATACTTAAGTTTGTTTGATATTTGTTTCATGCACAGAATTCCAGCATTTCTAAATGAACCAGACTAATTTTAATGATCCCAAATAAGCACTAGGTGAATAAATACCTCAATAAGTCTTATCTGTTTCTTATTTTAACATTTCTATGAGGAATGCAACCATGTTTACTGCAAGGATGTCAACTCCCAACTACCACCAAAGGTCAATGAAACTGGGTATTCAGTTCCACTATTGCAACTCTTGGTGCAAGACAAGTGACAGACTATTTTAGCCACTCTGTGGCTTATCTGATTTTTAAGCTGCTGGGATTTGAGTTTCTTTGCAACTGAACATCCATACACTGTTCTCCTTCTCTATTTAAAAAACTTTAATCAAAGCCATACAACCAAACTGTAGTCTGCTGCTCAAATACTTAACTATTACTTACATGCTGCACAGTAATACATACTGGCCAAGGTTTATTTTGTTGTTGTTTTTTTTAAGTAGGCCTACAGTTAAGCTCCCACCCTTTATGTAAAACTGTTTAAATAGTGTCTGCACTGTGCAGGTTCCAATGTACATGTTAATACTTGAGTCGCTGCATGTGTGACTAAACACTAGGAAGTACAAGAACAACTCAAACAACCTCAAAATGAAGTAACCAAACTAAAAGGCTTGGCACATTTCAATATTTTGCCTAATCAATTCCATATTTTTATCAATGCAGATTCAGATATTCTATCTCCTTATTGATTTCTACTTGGCTGTGACTGGTTTGTCTCCAAATGAATATTTGCTTTATTTGGGTATTGGCTCATTGTACCTTAGTGTTGCATGTAGTAACAGTTTTGTAAACCAGATGTGAGAAACAAAGCATTACTGATCCTGGAATTTGGCCAAAAAAGCCAGCATTTATGACAAAACACTTTTTACCCTTTTGATAAGATCAGACAGTTCCATTTCAGACTTCTGCTGCGCCATATCTGATTTGACCTCTGAGTATGTATCATTGATAATGGCCAAAAACATGTTCTGTTTAAAATAAAGATAGAAATGGGAGGTTAAAAAACTCTCAAGAGATCTTCACTAGTGTACTTAAGCATCACTTCTATGACTGTTGCATTCTCATAGGAAGTGAAAACTTCTCAGGTCACAGGAGCATGAAAATGGCCAAGGATGGCAATACTGGATGGGCAAGGTCCTACATCCATCACAGCTTTTAAATAAGACCATAAATAACAGGTTGGTAGATTATACCTCATCTCTAGCAAGGCTTTTGACACCATCTCCCATGACATTTCTCCTTAGCTTAGTAGCTAAGGAAAAAGATTAAATGAAACTACTACAAGGTGGACTGGTTGAACCACAGTACTCAACAAGTAGTCAACAATGGCTGCGTCTAGTTGGACGAAGTTTCAAGTGAGGTGCCCCAGGGGTACGTCTGGGTACAGGATTGTTTAATATCTTCACTAATGACTTGGAGAAGGGATGTCAAAGATCTGCCCTGCAGCCTTGATGCAAGGGAGGGGGAAGCTTTCCATGGCTGCAGGCAAGCACCTTGGTGAGACCTACAGCACTGGAGCCCCGGCAGCCCTGATGGAAGAAGCCACGCATTGTGGCTTGTTCCCATGGCAACAGCCAAGCACTGTGTAGCACCAGGCTTTTTCCCCATGGTGCTGCTCGGGCTCTAGCACTATAGCTGTCACCCAGGGGCTTGGTTCCTGCTGCAGAAACAAGCCATGGAGCCAGGCTGCTTTGGCAGTACTGCAGGTTCTCCAGCATTACAGCTCTCACCAGCTTGGCTGCCAAGCACCTGAGCAAGAGACGCAGCACTGGAGCCCTAACATCACTGTGGAAAGAAGCCCAGTACCAGGGACTGTTCCTGCAGCAGCAGCATCCAGCAGGGTGCTGGGCCTCTTCCTGCTGGGTACCAGACTGGCTGGGCAGGCACTGCCTGTGCTAGATCCAGCACTGTTGGGAGAGGGGGGATGGGGCTGATCTTGCACCATTCATTTGACCTGCAGAGCCAGATGAGTTCAACACCCAATCTGGAGGAGTGTAAACTTAGCAAACAATACCAAATTGGGTGAAACTGCAGACATACTGGAGGGTACAGCTAGGATTCATAGTGCCCTTAATAAACTGGAGAAATGGTCCAAAAAATCAACTGGATAACATTCAGTACAGACAAGTGTGAAGTTCTGCACCTGGGATGGAACAATCACATGCACAAATACAGACTGGGGAAGAACTGGCCAGGCGGGAGTACTGCAGTAAAGGACTTAAGGGTATAATGAGCTAGTAGTATGCAAAATAGTCCAATAGCATGCTGGGCTGTATTCACAGGAGCATAACTTGCAAATCAAGTGATTTTCCTACTCTGTTCAACACTAGCAAGGTCTCAGCTGCAGTCATGCATCCATTTCTGGGTACTGTACTTCAAGAAGGATGTGGGTAAGATGGCAAGAGTCCAGTGGAAAGCAACAACAACAAAAAAAAGAGGTCTAGTCTAGGAAATATGATTTATGGGGGAAGGTTTTAAGGACTAGGATGATTTATTTTGGAGAACAGAAGACTAAGGGATAGTCTTTGATAATGGCCTTCAAATATGTGAAGGATGGTTATAAAGAAGATGGAGACAGGCTATTCTGATGGTTCTAAACTGGGATGCCATGGCACCATGGGATGTCAAAAGGCCCTCTCAGGGGTGCTCTTGCAGCAGCAGCCAGCTAAATCTGGCCCATGTGCTCCCCCTGCCTTAGGGCTCTCTAATCAACCTAAAGCAGGTGGCAATGGTGCCTCGTGCTGTGCAGAGCTTTTTGATCTGACCATCCCTATGCTCCTCCAGTAAACAGGCACAAGTGAAACTATCTGTCTGCTTCTGTTTCCAGGGGGAGTGTAGGGGATGCCAGACCAGGTTGGGTTACATAGCACGAGGCAGTTCCTGCCTGCTTTAGGTTGAACAGCAAGCCCCAATGGCGCGGAAGGACATGCATATGGCACAGCTCTTCCTGGGCTGACTGTGCAGCAGGCACAGGGAAGTTTCATTTGGAGGCAGCAACACCTAGCTGAGAAGCACTGAGGTAAACTAAGCAGCACCAGCAGTGGTTCTCAGCTGGGTGGGCACACTGCCATATTCAAAATATGGGGTCAGACTTGAAGATCTACAAGGTCCCTTCCGACCCTACTTCTATGATTCAAAAGAGTGGCGGTGGAGTGTGCCATGGCCCCTGAAAAGGTTGTGAAGTACTGGACTGTTCTCTGTGGCTGCAAGGAATAGAAGGAACAATGGTCTTAAATTGCAGCAAAGTTTATTAAGCTGAATTTAGGGACAACTTTCTTACTCTGAGGCAGATTAAGCACTGGGACAGTCTACCAAGAGAAGATGTGGAATCTTCAGCCTTGGATGTTTTTGACACCAGGTTTGACAGACACTTAGCTGGAATGCTTTAGTCAAGGATGATCCTGGCCTGAGCAGGAGATGGGATGAGATGACCTCCTGAGGTCCACTTCAACCCTACTATTCTATGATTACAGGTTGTCATGTCTACACAAAGTTTTAGCAAGTAACAATGTTCCACCTGAATGTGAAGTTTAACAAGAGCCCAACTGCTGAAATGATACCAGGAAATAGACTACTGCTGTATGTGCCAAATACTTAATTTCCCAGACATGCACTAACTACTGAGAAACAGCCATTCCAGAAGGTGTACATGTATCCAATTACACATCTGACAATAGGTTAGACTAGGGGTGTCAAACATGCAGCCTGAAGCCTGGATCTGGCATGTAAAACCAATTTATCTAACCTGCCAAGAGAGGAGATGGGCACTACCCAAAGAATCACCAACGATGCAAAGCAACTCAACTAACTTAAGAGGGCTTTTACAGCATCTAAGGTGCCCTAACAGTCACAGAGCCCTCAACACTGACTTGACTTAGCCCTGCTGGACATGGGGCTCACTGCTACCACCATCCCTGGACCCCTCCCCCAAACCTCCAGCATGGACTCCTTGCAGCCTCCGGACCCACTGCCACCAGACCCTGAGCTCCTGTGGCCATAGTGGCCACCCCCTTCCCTGCAATCCAGAGCTGGCCCATGATGAGCCCCACAGTTTGGATCTGGCTTGAAGCATCAGATGAGTTTGACCCCCTTGGGTTAGACAAAATCTCTGTTACTAAATGTTTAAGTATAGTTGATCCTTCTTTGGAAGAGGGACACAGACTGGCTAATGTCCCTTCCAGCCCTATTTTTACTTGATTCATAGTTTCATAGTTTCTAGGGTCGGAAGGGACCTGAGTAGATCATCTAGTCCGACCCCCTGCCATGGCAGGAAAGAGTACTGGGGTCAAACCACCCCAGTAAGGTGTTCGTCTAACCTCCTCTTAAAAAATCCCAGGGTAGGAGCCTGCACCACTTCTCTTGGAAGTTGGTTCCAGATCCTAGCTGCCCTGACCGTGAAGTAGCGCCTCCTGATATGTAGCTTAAACCTACCCTCTGCCAGCTTGTGACCGTTATTCCTGGTCACTCCTGGCAGTGCTCGGGGGAACAGGGACTCCCCCAGTGCCTGCTGATCCCCCCTGACTAGTTTATAACAGGCCACTAGATCCCCCCTCAGCCTTCTCTTGTGGAGGCTGAACAGGTTCAGGTCCCGTAGCCTCTCCTCATAAGGCCTGCCCTGCTGCCCCCTGATCATGCGAGTGGCCCTCCTCTGGACCCTCTCCATGCTGTCCACATCCCTCTTAAAGTGCGGCGCCCAGAACTGGACGCAGTACTCCAACTGCGGCCTGACCAGTGCCGCGTAGAGGGGGAGGATCACCTCTTT